TTTTAGAGATAACATTTTAAAAATTTCTGCAGAAAGCTGACTTTATATGTTGAAAGCCATAAGCATGTTTATTTCCTTTGATACACATTTTCACTTTTTGGAGTTTATTCCAAAGCGATGAGATATACACAAAGACTGAGGTTCATTGCAATTTTATTTCTAATGAAAACTCAACAGTTGAAAAACTTAGGAATACCCTAACAGTTCACCAGTAAGGAGATGTTTAAATAAATGTTTTGTCCATTTAATGGAATATTGAGTGAGCATTACATTTCATGTTTTCAAAGATGATTTAGTGGCGTTGGAAAATCTTCGTGACTTAATAAGATATAAAAACAGGGCAAAAAATAACCAAATATAGTGTGTTTTAAAATGTTTGTGTGTAAAAAACAGGAGGAAATATTTCAAACTGTTAGTAGTGTTTTTCTGTGGGTGGTAGTGTGATGAATAATTTTAGTGTTCTTCTTCCTACTTTTGTGTAGAATTTTCTAGTGTGACTATGTATTATGTTTCAGGGAGGGGAGGGGGGAGTGTGATTAGAAAAGATGGCTCTCCAGTTATAGCCCTGTTCTAAAAGTGATTCTTGGTGGTGGGAAGAATCAGAAGTAGGGTTTATGGGCTGGATGTGGTGGCTCATGCCTATAATCCGAGCACTTTGGGAGGCTGAGGTGGGTGGATCACTTGAGTCAGGAGTTCAAGACCACCAGCCTGGCTGACATGGCAAAACCCCATCTCTACTAAAAATACAAAAATTAGCCAAGTGTGGTGGCAGGTGCCTGTAATTCCAGCTACTTGGGAGGCTGAGGCAGGAGAATTGCTTGAGCTCAGGAGGTAGAGGTTGCAGTGAGCCAAGATTCTGCCACTACACTTCAGCCTGGATGACAGAGTGAGACTCAATCAGAAAAAAAAAAAAAAAGAAAGAAGAAGTAGGGTTTATGGAACCAGAAGATGGCCTCAGTTAATAGAAAGTAGCTGAAATAGAATTAGTAACTCCCTCAAATTAGTCCTCAGTTATTTTTTCAAGTTGCTTTATTTTACTAGCTTTTGAAAATTAGTTTCTTCCCAAACCTTTCTCTTATAAACCCTCATTCAAGATTTTCAGGACAGAAAGTTCTGATTTCTCCTTATTTATTTAGTGAACATTTTTAAGTGGCTAATTCAGTTATGTCTGGGACATTATAATCCTCCAAGGGGTTGAGCTGGGTGAGCCCCCTAGCCAAAGCTTAGTAACACTACTGGGTAGGCGAGCGCATGGCCCTTTCTGTCTTATGCCAGATAAAAGTGACTCTCCCTTTGCCTTTCTTTTATTTTAAATCCAGCCTCATGATGATCCTAAGACTTGTCTTGTTGCTGCTGTGAGCATCTGGAGGAACTGAAAATTAAGTTCATGTCATCCTGCTGTAATGGACAGAGCATATTCTTTGTATTTAAAAGATAAATTCAATATGGAATGCTAGAAACACAAGTAGCTCTGTCACTTCTAATATGAACATGAGTTTGAGGTAGTTTTTTTTCTAAAGCAAAAATTTTGACTGTTTTCTAATTGGCAAGTCCTGTTTTCATTAAAAGTGGCTAATAATCATGATATGCTCTTCCATTTGCTGTGCCTATTTTTTATATAGTTGGTATTTTTTGAAAATTCCAAATATTCATGTCTCAAGGAAGCTTAAACTATAACTTATTACATAAACAAATTGTTAAGTGGAGTTCACAGAATGCTACTGTATCTGTCATTTATGTTATATTTGAAATAATTAGAAATTATACTTTTTCCATTTTAATTGTATTTCTGCCAGTGCTATTTTTTTCTTTAAAAAATTTCATTTTTAGCACACTCTTATGTCCTAACAGAATGTATTCAGTATTCAAATAAAAGACATTTTGGTTCCAACCTGTTTGTTACATGTTAGTTTTTTCTCTGTATATTCAATTCGTCTTTGACATTTAAATGCTCAATTATTAATGAAAAGGGTTGGGAAGGAGGGTTTATTAAAGCCAACACTCTACTTCTTCAGGAGTAGATATTTTCTTTCTCTCTCTGAAAGAGTAATAGTTCTGAAACAAAACTGCTTTTGTCTCAAATTACCACTTTATTTTTAGGCATAGTTATAACTTAATGGCCAAGGCACTTTTAGGGCCCGAACTGAACATCACGAAACCTGAATTCCAGCCCAGTTCTTCCACCCACTTGATGCTCTTTGGAAGGTCATTTTCTTTCCCTCTGACTCAGTTTCTCATCCTTAAGGAGGAATTGAACTAAATGATCGACTCTAAATATCTACAGTTCCTATCCTGTGGTGCCGTCATGATGGTTAAATGATATAATGTATACTAAAGACTAACTCCCATCTTGGCTCAGTATTTGACCATTGTTATTTTTTTTTTCTCATAACTTTCCCTTAGGTGGTGTTTGTTGCCCGTTGTTCCCAGTGCTAAAGAACAGGCAAGTGTTTGATTGTCTCATTACATATCTTCTCTTTAAGCCAAATAGGCTTAGGCATAGGAATTAAGTTGCAGCAAATCTTAGAAGTTACTTGGTAACAATCTAACAGTAAAACAAAATTAACTTAAAAGATCCTTAAAATATCCTTTGTTTCATTATTTAGGGAAACATAATCAAACTATCTTTTGTTACTGCTCACAAGAGTTTTTACATCTTTAGTTTTCAGTGTTATTGTTAGATTGTCACAATTAACTTCTGGATACTTTGGCTTCAAAATACATTTACCATTTAATCTTTTTTACATGTCCCCAGGCCTTATCTAGAATCGAATGCTCCAAGTAGGTAAACTGTGAACAATTTTCAGAAGTCAAAGCAGCAGTTTATGATCTTAAAGCATTTAGCAAACTTAATATCTGACCTGCATAATTTAGACCAAATGTTTACATTTTAAAGATATTTTTATTTATTTTTAAAAATTATTTATTTATATATTTAATTTTTGAGACGGAGTCTCACTCTGTCACCCAGTCTGGAGTGCGGTGGCACGATCTCAGCTAACTGCAGCTTTCACCTCCTGGGTTTAAGCGATCCCTGCCTCAGCCTCCTGAGTAACTGGGACTATGGGTGTGCGCCACCAGGCCTGGCTAAGTTTTGTATTAATTATTAGTAGAAACGGGGATTCACCATATTGGTCAGGCTGGTCTTGAACTCCTGATCTCATGTGATCTGCCTGCCTTGGCCTCCCAAAGTGCCGGAATTACAGGCATGAGCCACCATACCTGGCTGATATTTTTATTTTATCAATAATCTGTAAAACTGTCTTTATTTTCCAAAGATTACTTAAGTTGCATGAACTAAATGAAAAGCATTACACTTCTAACTTTTCTGACAAATATTTGATTTATGTGCTTATTATTATTAAACCATCAATTAAAGCTCTTTTGATATAAACATCACACACAACACATATAAATACACAGACAGAAGATAAAGGAATCATTTCCTAAGCCAGGAATTGAACCCTAAACCATGATTGCCATTGTGAAAACAGAAAGCATGGCTACATGGTTACAAGGTCAGGCTCCCAAGGACATACAAGACAAGAGGAAACTTCATCCAGTTTTTTTTTTTTTTTTTTTTTTTTTTTCCAGAGACCTGTAGCAAAGTTTGTAACTGACCAGTTTGCTGGGCCATCTTGAAAAGCGGGCTTACAGGGGTCCTAAGACCATGTTCTATCCTACGGTACCCCTCTCCATTATAGAACACAGAAAGACACACAAAGCACACCAAAGTTGCTACAGCTTAACAAAACTTTTTAAATTATTGTTAATTAAAACTTTACAGAGGAAATAAACAGTGATTTTTACATTAATCACTCAGTTTGCACAGAGAGGGAGAGACACAGAGAGAGGAAGCATTGCCTGAGGTAGGGTGGGGAAGATGAAGAGCTCAGGGAGGCCAGAGAAAAGACCCACCCATTGCAGTGATGCCGAAAATTTCAGGCAGCTGCTTGTCGGTAGTGAAGGAATTTTTTCCAACAGTCCCATCAGCATTCAAGTTTCCCTTTTTAAGGAGGAAAATGCCCCCCATGTCCCACGATCCTGTACATGCCTTATTCTGTCACCCACAGCCATCAGCAAACAGTGCAAGGCAGACTAATCCAAAGAGAATAGCAAATAACATCCTGTGGTGCCAAACCCATTCTTAGCCTAAATGGACTTTATCAAGATGGGCCCCTAACCCCCTAAATCTTAGTAGGCCCTCTAACCCCCTAAGTTGGACCTGTAACCCAAGGTCAGTCAAGCATCCTTGCCTTTTATTAAGAGGGGCCTCTAACCCACGCTGGTTTGGGAGAGACTTTAACTTTACTAAGTTGTGCCTTGTATTAGTCAAGGTTCTCTTAGAGGGACAGAACTAATAAGATATATGTGTGTGTATATATATATATATATATATATATATGTCCTATTATGTACATACATACACACACACACACACATCCTATTATATATATAGGAACTAGGACTAATAGGAGATATGTATACATATATATACATATATATATATATATATATATATGTATATATATATACATATATATTTTATATATATGTGTATATATATATATATCCTGGTTCTCTATCCTGCAGATGTGGATCTTGGAACTTCTTAGCCTCCATAACTGTGTGAGCCAGTTCCTGTAATAGATCTCCTGTTATGTGTGGATACGTATCCTGTTTGTTCTGTTTCTTTGGAGAAACCTGACTAATACCCAATGGTATACAGAGCTGGGAACTGCTCTTCTCTTCTGTGGGAGGAGTTCATGGAGATGTGGGTAGCTATACCAGGAAAAGAACGGGAGCTTTTTGGGTGCCTCTCAGGAAGAGGGATTGCTGGTTGCTCATTTTTATGGTTATTTCATGATGATATGCTAAACAAGGGGTGGATTATTCATATCTTCCCTTTTTAGACCATATAGGGTAACTTCCTGACGTTGCCATGGCATTTGTAAACTGTCGTGGTGCTGGTGGGAGTGTAGCAGTGAGGACCACCAGAGGTCACTCTTGTCGCCATCTTGGTTTTGGTGGGTTTTAGCTGACTTTACTGCAATCTGTTTTATCAGCAAGGTCTTTCTGACCTGTATCTTGTGCTGACCTCCTATCTCATCCCGTGATTTAGAATACCTTGATCATCTGGGAAAACAGCCCAGTAGGTTTCAGCCTTATTTTACCCAGCCTCTGTGGAAGATGGAGTTGCTCAGGTTCGAACACCTCTGACATTTATGTCCTGATAAACCCATTGTAAGCTGAAAATATTATAAGTTGAAAATGCATTTAATACACCTAACCAACCAAATATCATCATAGCTTAGCATAGTACCTTAAATGTGCCTAGAACACTTATGTTAGCCTACGGTTGGGCAAAATTAACACAAAGGCAGTTTTATAATAAAATGTTGAATACCAGTGTAACTTATTGAATTCTGTACTAAAAGTGATAAACAAAATGGCTGTATGGGTATAGAACCATTGTATACCCATACAACCATTCTGTTTATCACTTTCAGTACAGAATTCAACTTGAAGTGTGGTTTCTCCTGAATTGTGTCTGGCTTTCACACCATCGTAAAGTAAATGGTAAGTTGAACCATCATAATTTGGACACAGTCTATATACAGTAGAAGGAATTTGAAACAGTACTGAACACTTGATACTAAGAAATTACTCTTAATTTTTTATTTATAGTGGTGATATTATGGTATGTTTTAAAAAACAGAACCTTATCTTTTAGAAACTCCTACCAAAGTATGTCTGGGTGAAATACTATGATAATGAGATTTGCTTCATATTAATCCAGTTGTGAGGAGGAGTGTGTGGAAGTATAGAAACAACATGAGTGACTTTGTGCTGTTAATTGCAGCAGCTGAGTAATGGGTACATGGAGTTGTTTATGCTATTCATTCTATTTTCATAAATGTATGAAATTTTTCATTATAAAAGTATTTTTAATTGCTCAGCAAAAACTGATGCTCTTTATCATGGATTGAAGCTTAAAAGGCCCGAGGTAGCTTCTGAATCATGAGGACATTGCAATGGTGTTCATTACAGCTTCAGAGATGACCATGCGGGATGAATGCTTGCCCAGATGAGTCTCCTCAGGTTTATCGACCCCAAGCCTGTAGACACTGAACAGAGATGCTGTCTGAACTGAATCACTGTATAAACCTTCATTGCTTCTGCAGACCTTACACAGGAAGTTCAACAAAGAAACTAAACTTTTTTAGGCTGGGTGCAGTAGCTCACACCTGTAATCCCAGCACTTTGGGAGGCTAAGGCGGGTGGATCACCTGAGGTCAGGAGTTTGAGACTATCCTGGCCAACATGGTGAAACCCCGTCTCTACTAAAAATATAAAAAATTAGCCAGGCATGGTAGCTCATGCTTGTAATCTCAGCTACTCAGGAGGCTGAGGCAGGAGAATCACTTGAACCCAGGAAGTGGAGGTTGCAGTGGCCCAAGATTGCACCATTGAACTCTAGCCTAGGCAACAAGAGCAACACTGTCTCAGAAAAAAAGACAAAAAAACAAAAAAACTTTTTAGTCTGCATTTGATCTTGCAAAAATAACCTCTCTGAGCTTCAGTTTCTTCATCTATAAAATGGGGATGTAATACCAGTCTCATAGGTTATTGAGAGTTTTAAATGAGATGAAGGATGTAATGTCTTTAGCCCTCGGTAAATTATGAGTGATGGTAAGTGGCCCATATCTGTGGGTGGAGGGAAGGGAAGCAGACTCTGAAAGAGGGAGGAGACTGAAAACAGCAGGAAACATTGTCTTAGCAGTGGGACAGCTGGAGATAGAGCAGAGATGGAGCAGGAGACACACTGAGAAGGAGTCCACGGCAAAGAGGTGAGCATTGTCAGAGGTCTCCTGGGATCTAAGGAACAGGTAGCTGAGAGGCTGCCAGGCTCAGAGCAGCGAGGAGGATATGCCTCTGACAGAGAAAGTCTAGACATCTGAGATTGGGGCCTATCAACCAGATGGGGCTAGGCAGAGCAGCAAAGCTTTGATGGCTAATTGTACATGTTAACTCAACCAGGCTAAGAGATGCCCTGATAGCTGGTAAGATAATATTTCTGGGTGTGTCAGTGAGGATGTCTCTGGAAGAGATTAGCATTTGAATTAGAAGACTAAGTAAGGAAAATCACCCCCACCAAGTTGGGCCAGCACCATCCACTCAGTTGAGGACCCAGATAGAATAAAATGGTGGAAGAAGGATAAATTTGCTCTCCCTGCCTGAGCTAAAATATCCATCTTCTCACTTCAGACGTCAGTGCTTCTGTTTCTCAGGCTTTGGGACTTGCACCATTAATCTCCAGATTCTCGGGCATTAGTACTTAAACTGAATTACACCACCAGCTTCCCTGTTCTTTAGTCTGCAGATGGTGGATCTTGGAGCTTCTCAGCCTCCATAACTGTGTGAGCCAATTCCTATAATAGATCTCCTGTTATATGTGGATATGTATCCTGTTTGTTCTGTTTCTCTGGAAAACCCTGACTAATACCCAAACCGTTGGATGGTATACAGAGCTGGGAACTGCTTTTCCCCTCTGTGGGAGGAGTTCTGGGAGATGTGGGTAGCTACACCAGGACAAGAATGGGAGCTTTTGGGGTACCTCTCAGAAAGAGGGGCAAATACATGGGACCCCTGTGAGGTAGAGCTACAACTAGAGAAATAGTATTGGGTTTGTGCTGTTGTCAACCAGTTGTAGCCCATGCTGAATGGCCTGGAAAATACTGATTAGAAGTTAGAGGCCTATCCCTCCCACCTCCTCTTGCACCTAGAACAGAAGCTCTCAATGACCGTGTTCTTTGGGCTTTTTTCAGTTCCCAGAAATGCCTGGCTCATTGGAGGTTCTCTGTGGTTGAATGGTGTGTTTTCAGGTGGATGGGTAGATGGATGAATAATGAACAATGTTATTAATAACTAGGACTGTTTGGATAAGAGTTCACCAAACTTCCTGAGCCAGGAGTCTCCCTATGTAAGGAAGGAAGGGAGAAAAAAAGGAGACATTAATAGAATGTGTCATTCACTCATTCAACAACAATTTGCTGTGTGCCACCAGGAACCAATGCTAGGTATTAGAGGTATAATAATAATTGAAACCAGAGTGATCCTTGCTGTCATGAAGTTGACAGCCTGGTGGCCTACTATGTGTCAGTCTGCAGTCACATAATTGTATAATTATCAGGACTATGGGCAGGCCCCCCACAGAATTCTACCTATCTCTGTTCCTCATCTCTGCTTCTCACTGTTCATTTCCTTGCATGTGGCAAACGCACATTGGAAGCTTCTAAGTTTTACATATTAGAGCTACAGCAGCTGCAGAGAGACCTGGGTACATCTCTTGACACCAATTCCAAAAATGCAGGACAAGCAGCTGATCATCTCAGCTGGGATCTAGAGCCTACTCCTTAGATACCCAATGCCTGTGAAGAAAGGGAGGAATAGTGTTAAGTGGAACATTGCAATTCCTGCAGGAACTCCTAGGATGGCAAGGGAAGAGGCATAGTTACCAGTTATTTTTCAGGGAGGTGTGGATGCAAGAATAATCCTGGACAGACAAAATAACAAGTGCCGTCTGCAGAGACGGAGAGAAAAGCGTGGTGGGGTAGGCTGCAGTGGCACACTGGGTCAGCTGGGGAAGAAAGGCTGTGAGGCACTGTGCCCTGAGGGTTCTTGAGGACCATGGGCAGGCAGGGCCTTGTGCTTCTAGGCAAGTGTGTTGAGAAGTTCAACAGATAGATCTGGGTTTAAATCCTACCTCACTCTTTATTTGCTAAGAAGTTGCTTCACTTTTGAACTTCACTTTCTCCAACTGGGAAATACAAATGGTTATACTTATCCCCACAGGATTAATGTGAGCATTCAAAGAAAGAATATTCTCAAAGAACTGATCAAGTGACAGGCAAAGAGTGGGCACCCAGTATCGGACAGCTGTTGTTCTGATCTGGGACAAAGCCTTCTCTCCAGGGGTGTTTATGTTCCAAAATGATTACCTTGCCTGGTTAATAATTATGCTGGCCCAGATGATTGCATTTATGAGCATTCTATAAAATGGATCAACCTCGATGATGACGTTCTTAATAAAGACCCTGGGTTGGAGAGATCATGTGGTCAGTCAATCTGGGCATTGAGGAAATAAGTTCTTAATTTTTGCCCATATTGAATGTCTTTGAGAGAGACTTTTCAGGACATTAGTTTAAGATCCATAGTACATATTATTAATGTTTCTCTCATAACAGCTATGGTTTATTAAGCAGTTGTTATGTTGAAGACACTGGACCAAGTAGACAACTTTGGAAGCCTTGCCTTATCCACAATGATGCCCCTTCTCTGAGAACTGCTCCCCCTCCCCCTACCTCCTGCATAGGGGTGGTGGGCTCCCATGGGCCATGATTGTGATATATAAACCATACCCCAGCCAAGGTGGGCTTGCCATGTCCATCCAGTCACCAATCGAAACCAAGTCCATCTTCATCCTAGGAAGTTAGCATTGAGACTGAGCAGCTGCGTGTGACTGGAGCTGAAGCACAAGAACTCAGGGATTGTGGGACAGACATACTGTGTCACATGAAGAGAGGAACAATTATAAAGAGAGCAAAACAAAACCAGTGGACAGGAGAGGTGAGGAGACCACAAGAGGGCGCCCAGAAATATAATTTCAGTATGTCATTGCATTAAACTGGGAAGAGCCTATGAGTCAACTCTTCCTTGGATCTGGAAAGCATGTTGTTCATTATCTTCCAGCACCTACATATGAGAAATGAGTAGAACCTGCTCATTCATGAATTGCTGTGCTACTTTCTCCAAGGTTTCTCTCCAAGCATAGTACTTACTCCCTAAACAGTGTTTGACAAAAGTGGGTGTGCACACCATCTGAATTGATTCCCTCCTTGCCACCTGCCACTGCAGAGTTCTTATAGTCCCAGCATGTTCCAAACTCTGAGAACAGCTAACGTATGATAGTACATTGCTTTTCATATCAGCCGTATAATTATCTTTTTTTGTTGTTGTTTTGAGACAGAGTTTTGCTCTGTCACCCAGGCTGGAATTCAGTGTTATGATCTCGGCTCACTGCAACCTTCGCCTCCCGGGTTCGAACAATTCTCATGCCTCAGCCTCCCGAGTAGCTGGAGTTACAGGCATGCACCACCACGCCCAGCTAATTTTTTGTATTTTTAGTAGAGACAGGGTTTCACCATTTTGGCCAGGCTGGTCTCAAACTCCTAACCTCAAGTGATCTGCCTACCTTGGCATCCTAAAGTGCTAGTATTACAGGCGTAAGTCACTGCACCCCACCTTTTTTTATTTAAAGGATAAAAACCTATCCCTTTTTATAAAGACACAGAAAACACTTCACTCACATATAACATGTCATACCCTTGCAGTGGGGTAATGTCTAGAGACAACCAAGGATTCCATCCACTGTAGCCCCATGCTATTCATCACATTTCCATCTACCCATTGTCTCTCCCAGTTAATCCTCAACTTATCGACTGTCCGAGAAATGAAAATGCTGACACTTTAGAGCTACAAAAGGTCTGGATTTTGAGCTTCAAAATGTGCAAAATATA